CAACGAATCGCTCAGAGCGTTCTTCAGGACATCCTCAATGGCAAAGTTGAATAGGAACGGAGAGATAGGGCATCCTTGTCGAACTCCACTGGAGACCACAAAGGTAGGCGAAAGCATGCCATAAGCCCTAACCCTGCCCGAGGTCAGACTGTATAGAGCGCGCAGTATGGAGACGAACTTCTCGGGGACACCGTTCATCAGAAGGCACTGCCACAGTACTGTACGATCGACAGAATCGAAGGCTGCACGGATATCCAGGAACACAGCAATCGTTGGCCTCTGATACACATGGCGGAGCTCGAGGATCTGGCGAAGTGTGAAGATTTGATCGATGCAGCCGCGACCAGGGCGAAACCCAGCTTGTTCTTCTCGTTGCAACGATTCGCGTGTTGGGGATAGCCTGCGAAGTATGATGGACACCAGCAGCTTGCAAACGACGAGGACTAAACTTATTCCTCTGTAGTTGGAGCAGATTGTGCGCAGGCCCTTTTTGAAGATGGGTACGACTATCGATTCACCCTAAGATGATGGAACCTTCTCTTTCGACCAAATTTTCGAGAACAAAACGGTGAGTTCTCGGACCAGCGATGCGCCACCATCTTTAAATAGAGCTGGGTGAAGACCATCAGGGCCGGGAGCTTTATAACGCTTCAGGTGCCGGAGCTCCTGCTCGATTTCCTGGGAAGAGGGAGGGTCTGTTGGGGTAGACCACTCGGCCCCAGCGCGAGCGCCAGAGGTAGCAGATGGAGCTGGGGGCCAACAAAACTGCGAGCCAAAATGTTCGGCCCATCGCTCCAACCGTCGTTGAAGATTGGTGATTAAGGTGCCATCCTCTTCGCATATTGTTTCACTTATACCAGATCGAACACCTTCGGTGACTCGAAGGAGATGGAAGAGTTTCCTGGTATTACCACAGAGACTAGCAAGCTCCATCTCCCTAGCACGTTCACACCACCAAGCTTCGCGGTCCATTTGCAGACTCCTGCGCAACTCTCGACCAAGGTATTGGCGTTCTTCAACGTATCTCGAATCCGATGGGATCAAGCGGCGTTTGTCCATCAGCGACAAGGAGTCGGCGGAAATCCAATGTTTCGGTGGGTGACGGGTAACTCCACAAGTGTCGATACTGGCGGAAACTAACGCATCTTTGATATGCGCCCACTGCGAATCGAGATCACCGTCAATAGTTAAGCCAAGCAAAGTTGACAGTGAGGCTTGGTACCTGGTTAAAATCGCAGCGTTTTGTAGATTTGCGACGTCCGGTCAGTAGTGGGCGCGCTTAGGTGATCCTCCGAAACGCATGCAAATCTTAGCACGAACCAATGCGTGATCAGAGTCCAGAAAAGTTGACCAGTACGATCGGCAGTCCATTACACTTCCGCGCCATCTGTAGCTGATTGCTATGTGGTCAAGCTGGGAGCACTCTTGCGTTTGTGAGGGCGGGCGCCAGGTAGCAGTGTGTCTCCTCGAGTGTCGAAAACTAGTGCTCGAAAGAAACAAGCGATGATCAGAGCAAAGAGCAAGTAGTCTGTCTCCATTGTCTGATCGACTGCCACCGAGACCAAAACTACCCCCAATGTGGTGCTCGCTCGGTAGAAGGCGGCCAACCCGTGCGTTAAAGTCCCCGGAAAGAATGACTATATCCGTCCGTTTGGAGGAACGCAGAAGTTCATGTAGTTGTTGGTAGAAGCTATCTTTAACTGCATCCGGGCTGCAGTCTGTAGGGGCGTAGGCGGAGACGACAAATAAGGCACGCTTAACATCTCGACGCCTGCTTACGTTACATGAACCTCTTAGTCTGACTGCACATAGTCGGCTGTTGACTGGGATCCAGTCAAGCAGAGCTGATTCAGCCCTGGCACTTAATACAACCCCAACACCAGCTTGACCAGTGGCGGCAGATTCTGGGTCTCCGGAAAGCCGCAAGTAGTATTTGGCGTCAGAGTTTACCGGAGAGGCCATTCTGATGACGGCGCTAGAGTCTTGTAATCTGGTCTCTGAAAGACAACAGATGTCTACCGATAGCGTTTCAAGAGTACGGGCCAGACATGCTTGTCGTCCGATCTGCATCAAAGTTCGAACATTAAACGCTGCGAGGATGAATGGAGAACCAGGTCGGAGAAGAGCTGGAGCTTCGGTGGAGTGAGAGGCGGTTGCGATCGCAGGACATTGAGAACCGGGAGTTTGGCTGTTACTTCCATCAGCTGCGAGACGTGGGTCGTTTGTGACGGCGACCGTAGAAGACATAAGAGTACATGTAGATGAAGGACGGGAGGTGGGGTGGTCTGTGAGTGGACTTTGAGCGGTTGAGTTAAGACAGAAGAACGGCATAGCAGTAGTAGTAGTGAGCGGTGTAGTCCATGATTCGTCAGCGGGCGTGATACTACCCGGTTGCCCAGGCCGAAGTAGAGGGTTGTCTTAGGGGGCCCTACCCCGAGCCTTTGATCAAAGATCTAACCTACAAGGCAGCAGGGCGATGTGAGGGCGTCGCAACCCGTTGGGAGCCGGTGACCAAGTAGATGGTTCATACGCCTTTCGGTCCGTGAAGGACCAGGGGCCCAACTCACCCTTAAAGTACAATGCCTCTCAGTGAGGGGCAAGGGGCAGTGACTTTATTTAGTGGCGAGTCACATCCGCCACGTCGCAGTGTTGTTAAACGGACATATGTGGCTTTTTATAGGGAGAACGCTTGCCAGGCGAAAACCCACCACGTCCTGGAACACTGCCGCCGAACCATTCGCTGGAACGGGAAAAACCCGAACCACCCAGCTGGCACTACGAGGAGGTTGTTCGGCAAGCCAGCCAGCTGGGTAGGTAAGCGCATCATTGTATCTGTAACCATTGTTTCAACTAGGAGGATTCCTAGTGTGGTGGTGACACGACATTAGTGAGTGGGCCACTTCGGTAATCAATTACCGCTTCAGTGTCCATGCATCTGCCGTTATTTTAAGGTCGTAAGATGCATGTCAATCTTGCGTTTCAAGATGATATTTACAATTCATTTCCATGTGGTTGATAAGCTTGAAATACCCACTAACCCTACGGCCCTGTTATGACCCGCCAACAAACGCTGCATGTGCATTATAAGCATAAGGTTTGGAGCAATTTTCCTCCTTCAACAATGCCTCCGGAACTACCTACTTTCCAATAACAAAATGTTTCCGAGTATTTGCCGAGTTGATGATAACATGTGTCACGGCGTGCACACATGACTGCTTATAAGAGTGACTGAAACAGTGGTCCATATCAGGGTTCGTGGGCGCGGTTGCCTTTGTAAATGATAGCAAACATGCTGTAAGAACGTCGGTGGGTGGTACAACAGTGTTTGCCTGTTCCAAGTATTCACCTGAATTACCAAAGTAAAATGCATGCGTGGCCACTAATTATCGGCCTGTACGTTTTCGCTTGCAGGAGGTTGTGGTATTTATAAATACGGGAGTCTTTGTAGCCCCTGTATGTGTTTCTTTGTTGAATAATGCCGATTCCATGAAGATAGCAGTCTAGTAAGGGAGGTTCCATTTGCATTTACTATGCTTGTAATGGTGCCATTTAAAGAGCCACTTTTCAAAGCGTCTTCACATCCATGGGTGACCCTATGGAAGTAAAGCATAATTATCTTATGAATGCATAGGTTCCGCATCCTTTCCATGACCTTTAAATAACGCCATACTGAAGCGATAACTGTTTAACAAAGTCGCCCATGGATGTGAAAACAAACCAACACTCACTAATGTCGTGTCACCGCCACACATGGAATCCTCCTAGTTGGAACAATTTTTGTGTTAAGTCATCAACTGTGATAGAAGTAAGCACCCATAGAACATTCGTTGTTAAGCTTCAGATTGGTCTACCTACCTCAATGGGAACACTGTCCCCCATGGTCGTCTCAATAACAATCGCACATAAGTATCCAACCGCCTAGCAGTCATTGCTGATTCAGCTTAGTGTGTGCAGTGTCCTAGCCATGGCGCATGCCTGATCAACCGCAAATGCAGGTCTGGCTGACTCCGTCAGACCTAAGGGACTGCGGAATACCAGTTAGAAGAATGCCTGTCTACGCCACCATCGTAACCATGGTTAGGCCGCCGAAATAAGCCACCACCAGGGCGCGGCTAGAGATCAGTAAGTATAAACCGCTTCTTGTGATGGGTTACACGTCCGTCCCCACTGGTTACGGTGTATGCTTCAGACCATGTAGTAGCTAGCATCTCTTCCTTAGGCAGGTATCACAAGTTGCCCATTTGGAGAGAAATCATTTAGGTTTCCTTCAGACGCGCGTCAGGGCAGCACAGAAGGTGGTGCTCGAGCACTTTCATTGGACTACCTGTCGTTTATGCTCGGGGCTTCCAACCGGTGACCCATTGGCTAACATGTCATGACCAATGCGAGTGTCAACGACACGGAAATAGCGTTCTTAGCCTCGCGAACTTGAATGCACAGCCCGCGCTTTCGAAAATTTGCTACCCTGCACTCTTGTTACAATGGCTTGTAAATTGCCTGTAAATTGGTGTTGTTCCTGGACGATTTGCGCATTATCCTGTATTGTTTTCTAGGTATGTTTATGGCTGTGAGCGGTCGGTTGTGTCCCAACTAAGTTTAAGAAAATCTAATGTACTGACTACTAATAAATCGCCTCCATCTTTCTGTAAAAATGGACGACGTTTATTTTATCTAGGTATCTTACTTCCTTTCAACCGGTTGAGTTCTTGTTGTATTACTTTCATTGATTTGTGAAATCAATTTCCCTTGCGGGTTCTGGTGATTCATCGAGGGATATTGCCACCGAAGACTTACTGAGTTGGTGTTCAACTTGCGGTCTAGTCGACGTGATTGCGAGTGTGTGGAGTGTTTATCTTTCTTCTTTTCTTTCGCCTATGTGTTGTGCGCTGCTCTTCAGATTTTGGTTTGTCGTTGCCGACACAGCTGGCTCATCCTAACACTGCTATTTTCTCTCGCCATTACTTTCTCCCTGTGTATTCCCATGCCCCATTTGCCTACAGAGTGTTGTATTCGGATTGCTATTGCATAAGAACCAGCTAGTGACTTTGGTACGTATGAAAGGACAGACTCTTCATCCGATGGATGTGCACCTGATAATCAACCTGGTTCGCTGTTCACCGTCTTTGAAGTCGGCGCAATCGCACTGGGTACCGGTTTGCCTGCCAAAATTCGACGCCAAGTAAGCTATTGTGCCAAATCATAAGGACCATCAATTTTAAACTTATAGTTAGAAGTGATGAAATCTAAACAATTGACGTAGTATAAATTAGATGCCCTCGAAAATAGTCATTGAACTACTTGGCTGATGCTAATTGACCACAAATCAATCCACCTAGTGATCTCGTCCGGGTGTACGCGGTAGTCATAATTCCGGTACTCTATAGTGAGCGCCGCCTAAAACATTACGTCACTTAGCCCCTCTTTAGTAGTAACAGCATAGTACCCTTTGAGCTCTTTTGCTACCGTCCAGATTTGTTTAGTTCATCAGAGACATTGACGAGGTAACAAGCGCTCCTCTGATAAGTTGCAATGGAAATGTTGGCATACATCAATCAGTAAATTTCCAGTATAATAGCTGCTTAATGGCGAAATCACAGCTTTTCACTTACCCGTCAATCATCCCATGCGCTCTGTACGTTCTACCAAGTGAGGACCGCTGTAATCTGGACTCGGACCCTGTGATTGCTATTCGGACTACCGATAGAGTGCACACACACAATTGATTAGCCTACACATGGTGTCACTTCACCTCTATCGGTTCACGTTTTAAACAGTTCTTCTTTCTGTGTTTTCCACTGGTACGTGTAGTTAATTCTGCTGACGGAGCGTGGTAGGCGTTTGCCTTTCACCGCGTGCCATCGTTCTTCGATGTTCTACCGTCACTGTGTTCATTAAATCTTCAACCAACTGCGTGAATAAAAGAGGACCCCCTAGGCTATCCATGGTCATTATCCGATTGCTCTTGTTCTGCCGACTTTATCTAAATCACGTTACCATCTCACACGGTTTTTTTACCAACTGTAGTTGAGCTTTCTTCTTCTCTCGACAAACTCCGAACCTGATTTGTGTTCGTGTGGGCATCATTTTGACGGCTTTGACGCTCCAGTGGTCACAATCACTTCTCTTCGCGTTGTTCAGAAACCATATTGCCATCGTACTTATAACCCGTATGTTAACATCGTCGACGCAGTGTGTGCTTTATTTGCCTCTATCTTTGTGATCACCACACCGAATGATGGCCGAAGGAATTTCGCGGTGGCACAGTTATGTACGCTTGTAGACCACCTGGTGATCTTATCCCCACCGTTCGGAATGCAGCAATCTTGGAGGAATCAGTCTGATCTCCAGTACCTCTAACTTACTTGCGTCTGTCATCCTCCATGTGCTGACTTGCCCACGTAGAAGCCAGATGCTCGAGGAGCAAATCGGATTTCGTCGATATCGAGGCTGCTTTGACCATTGGCCTTTGATTCGGTTGATGGATTGTGCCCTTTGGGACTGTGTACCCAGGACAGGTGTGTTCGAGAAATACGTAAACGTTATCCGAGTGATTTACGCGTGTAGCTCGGACAGAGTGACGGTTTACCATAAGCTTTCACCGCCCTTCAATATCTCCAGCGGTGTGAGAAGGTTGCCCGCTCTCACCTTTCCTCTTTAAGCTCACCATTGACGAAGTCATAGAAACGACGTTCGCCGGACACAACTTAAAAGGTGTGGAGCTGCTCCCAAGAGAACGACCTCGATTTGGAGTATGTCGTCGAACTGCCAAATTCCACGATGCCCTTTCTTAATTCCTTGAATCCTATACCCAAATGCTTTCGTCGCTCACGATTGAAGTTGCACCGCGTGCGTCATGTGACACGTTGGACGTGTGCACGCGTATGGGCCGTACCCATGGCCTGTGTTCGCGACGTGAGATCATTTGATCTGCTTGCGATCAACTGCACTGGTAAGCTGACTTACGTAGCGGTGAAATTAACCATAGGCACGCCAAGTTGTGGAACCGTGCAATTGGTGCAACAGCTTGCTCTGCTCCGAATGTCGCGAAAGGCACGCGTACGCGGCATTGTGCGGAGGTGAAGAAAGTAGTACTTAAGACTTATGAACAAGGACACGACTGGAAACATGTTTCACACAAATCTATTCAACACCGTCAATAATCCAATTGGCATAGTGCCACAACCTATGGAAAATACAATGAACATATGAAGATAGAGGTGAAAAAGACCGGTGTTCACGGGAATAGTGAGTCACAACAACTCCGCCATTGTGCACGGTTTCTTGACACGTCCGAGAATGTTTCCAGTCTTGTGTGTTTCGGATCCTTCACACTCTAGCCAGGGAGCCGGGAGCGCCAGACCACGGCTAATTTTAAAGTTAGCTCCTTCATGCTCCTGTCCTAAGTCATACGTTGACCACCTTGTCTTCGCTTCCAGCCGACTTTTGCGTGCGCAAAGTGGGCACGGCGAGGTAAGCGATGAGTTGCATGTGAAGTACTTGCCCAGGCCACTGAAGTCTGCACAGAAATTATACTGGTCAGTGCCGGGCAAAGTCTGTCGGATCTGAAAATCCTTCTTCGAATATCTTCATTCTTAGTGTGATGTTGCCATCGTACACCAGCAATGCTCCGAAGGCAGCGGTGATCACATACAGACAGCTTCTTAACGCGAACAGTCAAGTCTCACAGCCATAGAGGAGAACCGCTCTCTGGCATTGTAAACTCGGCCCTTCATGGATAGACTCAGATCACCTCGACGCCAGAGATGGCGTAAATTGGCAAAAGCAACCCGAGCTTTGGAGACTCGCAGAGACCTCATCCGTTAAGCCATTAGTGCTGAGGCAGCTTCCGAGTTAAACGAAATAGTCCACCACTTCCGATGAATGATCTAGAAGGGTAAGGTTAAGAGCAGCGCCTTGCATTTCGATGGTGCGAAGGTCATTCTAAACTGGGAGACAGGCATCTCCAATCTACACAAGACATTTTGGGCGGTTTGTGAGGAAGCGCGGATTACGGCGATGTCGTCTGCATACTTCAAATCCCGAAGTCGGTCCCCGGAAGCAGCTCGATGCCTCTGGGTTCGCAGTTTTTTAGAGCACTGTTCAAGATTTCCTCTTTAGCGAAATTGAACAAGGAGGGGACGTTGGGCAACCCTGTCTCGCGCCACTGGTGATACCGAAGTTGTGCGAAAGTCCGCCGTAAACTCGCACTCGGCCCGAGGTATAATTGTAGATGAGAGTAGATGGTTTGACGTAAGGTGACATACTTCTCGGGCACCCCTTCTCAGTAGACAACTCCAGAGAGCAGCTCTGTCGACTGAGTCAAACGCCGCTCGTATGTCTAGGAAGACAACGATTGTTGGCTGACCAAATGTTTGAGGAGGCTCTAGTATTTGGCGGAGTATAAAGATATGTGATCGATCCAGCTCCGAGCTCAGCGGAACCCAACTTGCCCTTCACATATGCCCTGTTCGCGTACAAGACTGAGGCTCCTTCAGCGCGGTGCCGCGTGTACCTTGGACCCAACATAGATGAGACTAATCCCTCTGTGATTGACGGTCAGTTCGAATACTCTTTTGGAAGACGGGCACGATATCCGCTAGGCTGCAATCAGATGGGATAACTTTCGTGACCCAGATCTCTTGCAAAGTTAACTCCCGAACAATTGGTGGACCTTCATCTTTGAAAAGAGCAGGAAGGTGTTCATCTGGGCCAGTGGCTTTGTATCGCTTTAAGAAGCGAAGCTCGTGGGCAACGTCAGCCTCGGATAGTGGTAAAGTGTCTACACACCAGGGAGTGTTCTGGGCTCCAGAATGGGAACTCATTGGTGCTGCTGGCTAATTAAACTGCTGCTTAAAATGCTCGGCCCAACGCTGGGGTCGGTGTTTTTGATAGTAGTTTGGCTTGCCATTGGTTTCACATAAAAGTTCGCTTACAATCCGCCTTTTGCTGCCAATAGTTCGGATCAGGACTAAAAGCTTACGGAAATTCCCCGAGTTGACCGCTTGCTCCATCTCAATGACCCGCTGCGTCCACCAGGCCTCGTGATCTTCCCGGAGAAGCTGTTTGTGCTCAGCATTAGCAGTCTTGTGTAGTGTATGGTATTTAACGCTAGCAGGAATTGTTCGCCGGGCTTCGAGTAGTTAGAGTGATCTTGCAAATCCAGTGGTCAACAGGACTACTGGTGAAGCCACAGACCAGGATTGCAGTGCTGTACATGGCGCGACGGATGTGTGTTCAGTGTGTTTCAATGTCTGTGCATGAGGCAGTCTTCATCAGTGAGGCCAAGGCATCCTGCAATGCGCTGAAAGGGTTCGGGCAGAAAGTTTAGCCACAGCAAGCCGTTTTCGGTGACGTTGCTGGGAGCCATCAAAACCTAGAGTAACCTTGGCACACACCAGCGCGTGATCCGAAGTGAGATAGGTACTCCAGATTGATTTGCATTCCTCTATACTAACCCGACAACGATACCTAATGGTGATGTGGTCGATTTGTGTCCACAGCTGGCTAGGTGATGGGGGGTCTCTGGGGCGCGTGTTGGTGCCAGGATCCCCGAAAGTTGGTGCTCGACAGAAAGAGGCCGTGATCGGCGCAGAGCTGAAGTAGTCGATCACATACTGAAAATAAACCTGATTACCTGCCGCGGTTGGATAAAAAATAGTTGAAATCAATCGGACAAACAGAAAATCCTGTTGAGGGATGCCAAAGGTCTGACAGAAAACCAGATTGATTACCTGGTAGAATGGGTGTCGAAAGAACCCACGGTCACTCTCCAAACACTACGTTTGTGGTTGAAGGCAGAGTTAAACATTGAGGTAAGCGTGATCACAATTGCACGATACTTGCATGGATGGCTGATTTCCATGATGTAGTTTTGGGCTATTCCGGAGTCAGCCAACATACATGAAAACAAAATGCGGAGAAAAGCCTACGTTTTGGCACTGTTACAATCTGAGGCCGAAGGGAGACAATCTGTGGGGATCGATGAAACTAATTTCAATCTCTTTTGTGCTCGCACCATGAGTCGTTCACCGCGTGAACCTCCTGCGCAATGTACAGTGCCGAACAGTCGAGGCCAAATTCTTCGTCTGATTGGAGCGTTGACAAACGATGGGTTAATAGACTATACCATCATGAGAGGAGGCTTCAATAAGGAAAGATGCGCGGCGTGGTTGCGTCGACTGCTGGATGCCAGAGGCTGGACTTGTATCGAAAACTGCCTCATGATCTGTGATAACACGCCGTGCCACACGAATTTGGAACGCGTATTCCAGGAGAAACCGTACCGTTCGGGCAGCCTGCTGCGTTTGGTGCCATATTCTTCGGCACTGAAACCCATCGAGGGAATCTGGAGCATCATAAAATCGTTTGTGAAGCAAGCTATGAGGAAGCAATATTCCGAGATGCTTCACGGAGTTCCTGAGGGTGTACTATGCAAAAGCGAGTAGATACTCCGCTTCTTGGAGCGAATTGTGTCCGAGGCACAAACCTGCATGATGCCTCAGCACTGCCAATAAATAATCGATTATGTAAGCAGGAACTATGCTATGCATTGCACGAATTTGTAACTTTTTTGCTGACATCAATGTATATGATTTGAAATGGTGTCATCACTTTTATGTATCCTTTGTTCATAGGTTTGAAATTCAGACTAAATATTGGGGCACGCAGTTTGTGCATGCTTCCGGTGTGGCGTTACGAGACAACCATAGGGTATCTTGATAGTTCAAAACAGTCGGGACGGCAACTGTAGTGGTACTAGTGGTGAGAAACCTGAATGTGTACCCATAAGTGGTATGTCATTAAACAATGGGGAATGTAAACGCATTACCATGAAGGCTGACCACGCGCCTGCGGAACCTTGCGTCTAAGGTTCGTGTGGCAGGTAATTAATTTTGCGTTCAGTATGTGTGTAACATGCTTCCACGTGTGTCCCTGTTCATAAGTCTCAAGTACTACGTTCTTCACTTCCTCCCAGTGCCGCGTACGAGTGCCTTTTCGTGACATTCGGAGCAGAGCAAGCTGTTACACCAATTGCACGGTTCTACAACTTGGTGTGCCTACGGTTAACTTCACCGCTACGTAAGTCAGCGTACCAGTCCAGTTGATAGTAAGCAGATCACGTGATCTCACATCGCGAACACACTCCATGGCTCATACGTGTGCACACGTCCAACGTGTCACATGACGTACGCGATGCGGCTTCAAGCTTGAGCGATGCAAGCATTCGAGTATATGATTCAAGGGATTGAGAAAAGGTATATGTAACTAGCTCTGGCTGTCCGTCATTTCGGGCTATGCTTTACACAATGGAAATGCAAAGCTCTCCGATACTGGCAGGGCCCACTTCTGCACTGACCCTTGGCAGTAATCATCTAGAAGTCGTCGAGCAATTCAAGTATCTGGGCTGCCACGTCAGGCCCGGTGGAATGTAAGATGAGTTTACGGATAGTATAGTAAAAGCTCGATGTTCTTTAGCTTATCGCATTTTGTGGCGCGGCATGATATTACTCTCTCTCTCCCCCCTCTCTCTCTGAAGCGCTGAGTTTACATTGCCGTCGTCCATACAACCCTCCTGTACGGTTGTGCAACTTAACCCATCAAGTCGACAGATATGAAGAGGCTAGTTACGTTCGATAAAACGGTGCCGTCGCACCTTAGCTCATGTCTGGCGGGTGCACCGCGTGGGCAATGAGTGTGTACGATGTCGTGTATTTGGTGTAGGTGGAGCGAGTGAACCGCTCAGCACCATTACATCACGCACCTGGCTTCGATAGGTGGGCAATGTTTTGCGTTGTTTGCGCGCCGCGGCGTGGTTGGCAGAAGAGGGGAAGCCAAGCGATGATTTGGGCAAGAGGAATGAAGTCCCACACTTCGTAGTTGGCGTCGGTTGGTGTTTCCCGACTGCCTCGCTGGGGACCGAAGGATAATGAACACGTTTAGTTCGATACACTAGCCGACATGGCGAAGAGTCAACTTCTTTGACGTTTCTGTTGTGGGTCGTCCCCCCTTCCCTTTAACTTTCCCCTCTAACAACGATCGCAAATGTTGTATTAGCACAATGTTACTTTTTCTATTGCCTTTTAGTCTACATTGCGTAATGCCTTACTATTTGTATTACGGCACATTAGCTGAAGTGTGTTTCTCATCCTCTGCTAACGTGTATTGGTGATGCTGAGCACCACCTTGTTTTCTCTTCCTTCTTATTGTAGATTGTGTATTAGGCCATGTTGATCTGCGTTTCGACCCTGATGGGTCTGCAATATGAGACCTAGCCAAAAAGCAACATAGCAACTGCGCTTTTTAAACTAATTTCATTTATGCCGGAGGGCTACCGACAATATCCTTGTATTATCCCAAAATATAGTTTACCGAGTCTGTGGTCAACTGTTCTCGTTTCTGATTTCTGTAAAGCTACCTCATCCCTCTGTGCTTCTCTTTATAGCGGCTTCTTGTACGCAAATATTACATTTTCGGATGATCTTACGTGCCTTGTTCTACTCACAGTGGACAGCACCCAATTCTACTCCCTAGATGCCGCGAAGGACGTTGTATTTCAAGTTCGTCTGTCCCCCTTGCATGCACTTTGTACTTTCATTTTGACTCAAACAGAGAATTTTATCTCCTTACAACGATACTTCCTACCCATCTCGCTCATACTTCTAGGTGTAACGTGTAAGTAACTAAAACGGACGAAAATAACGATCCAGCAGGATGGAAATCACCAGACCTCCGGCTAACTATGCTTAGAACATGCGGGGTGAAAATCCACGAGCAACTGAACCGTGGAAGTTTCTCCTTTCTATACTACAGTTGCAAGTCAGTGTTATGTGAGACTGACGAGTTCCTTGCAGTGGCCAAATCATTCATTCGCATTGTTATCCTACTGTCATTATGAAACAGTTCCCATACAGGGATCTCCCACGTTTACTTGTGTAATATAAGTATCCAATGCCACGGCGTTATTCCATATGTATGTCGACTTTGAGTAGCAGGATATGTGACAGGTTATTGTGGTATATCGGACTCCATTTGTGCGTCGGTTTAACGTCGACCAAAAACGGATTGAACGATTACCTTTGGGGCAGGTCACATGGCCTCCACACCCACAAACACTGCACACACATATAATATATATCGAATTTGAACTCAGCATGCAGTGTTGTGCTTCCCATCACTTGAACCTTGTTTTCGATACACTTCATTTGTACACCTCTGTAAATCGGCCACATCATTGCAACTCGGCCGTCGCGAATCTTTTGTGTGAGCCGTGCTTGTTCAATCCGTCATCGAGTCAAGCCGTGTGCGATATGTGGCTTTATATTACACTGTTTGGCCCCTAATATTGTAAAATCAGAAAGCATGGGATAATGAATAGTCTCGTTGGTCGTTAGCTTTCGCCTGACGGGATAAATAGTCTATCTTGCTCAGCTTTCATAACGCGACCGCTGCGGACCGAATTGTCCACCCATAAGTCGTTAGGTAATCGAGATGCTTTTTTTACATTGTATGCGGCTGTTCTCGGACCGTTGGTGTGTTAATTTTCCCACTGTATTGCTCCTGCGATCCATATTTCCCTTCACGCAACCCCAAAAGAATAGACATCTGTGCGTCTCATCCGCTGTCTAGCCTGTTTCATCATCCTTATACATACACGTTAGCCGAGTGTGAGGAACACACCTCAAATAATGTGCCGCAATACAAGAAGTAAGTCATTAAGCAATGTAGACTTTGAACCTATAAAAAGTAACATAATACTAATACAACATTTTTGATGGTTGTTGGAGGGGGAGGGACAAAGAAGCTTACGGCACAGACGCCATTGGCCCGGCTCATAGCCACGTCAGCGAGTGTGCTCAAGCAAACGTGTTAATCGTCCTTCGATCCACAGCCAGATAGTCGGGAAACACTAACCGACGCCGACTTTGAATTGAGGGTTTTCATTTCTCTCGACCAAGTGATCGCTTGGCGTCCTCTCCTCCACTTCCAAGCGCACCCCGGCGCGCAAACAATGCACGTCGCGGGAGTCAGTGTGATGGTATGCGCAACACGTGGCCCAGCCATCGGAGCCTGGTGCGTGCAATAATAGTGCTCAGCTGATCACTGGCTCTTCCTGCATCAAATACGCGACGCCGAAGAAATTCATAGCTCACGCGGTACCCCCATTAGACGTTTAGCCTGTTTAATGAAGGCGGTTCTGAAGCGGCTAAAGGTACATATGACTTGGGTATTGATTTATTCATCAAGCCACGCAATGAAGTCATAAAAGTTCCGGCATCATTTGAGTCAATCACTTTAGTGCACAGTATAAAGTGTCTGTGCCAACAAATCCTGACCTTCCTAATTAACTGAAGATCTGCACTTACCAATGAAGCGAAATATCGTTACGCACGGGAGGTATCACCTCGACTAATGACGAAAGACATACGAGTGGGCTGCACATTTCGAGGAACTGAAGGCACACATACAGCCTAGTGGTCTTCCAGGTTGTGATGGATAATTTGTGTGTTATATTGGTCTACATCAAGTCAAATCAAGCAAAGCTTTATGCACCTAGATGGATGCATTTTCAGCATTTTACACTATCTACCACAAATGTGCTAAAATAACATCAGCAAATATGAGAATTTTACAATTTAAAAACAGAATGGGTAAAAACTGCACAGATGTCACTTAAGTAATCAGTCCGGCATCTTTGATCAACGACCGCATATTGATAGAACAGATTATAAGATTCTTCATCCAGTTTACGGAGCCAACTTTTGCTACACCGTTTATTGATAGCTCGTTTCATTTGGATAAAAGCAACAAATAGCGAGTTATGCGCGGTGTCTCGGATACTTTTTCTAAGAATCGGTGGAGTTGAGCAGCCTCCGTGACTTTGAAATTGTTCAGCCAATGAATTTGTCAAAATATTCCTTCCAACTTGATACGCTTGCAGTATGGGTGTTACCCGACTGGTGAGTTGGGCCATACATTACACTCGACCATGAATTCGGGTTTTTCCGTCCTTATCATTTCAACCCAAATATCAATGTTTTTGGCCTCTTTGTAATGGAACCTGCAAGAAATGACGGGATTTAGCAACATATCTAATCCATTATTAACCAGTCAGAGGCCACTTATTACTTTGTCCACCGTGGTAACAAGTGGACCATTTTGCATTGCATCTTTGAGCATCCACACTGTAACGTTCATGCTGGCTTTGCATTTCCTTAATTGTTCCCATCAGCTTTGTCATTCGCCTCAGCGCCTTATGGTACAAACGGTTTCATCGTGTTGACTTGCGTTCACTGACTTAAGAGACTACACTTGCCTCAACCTTATCACATCGTTATGCGCTTTTGATAGCGTAACACCAACTATAACTGCAGTCGATGTGGATCACATCTCGACTCTAACCACCCTGTCATGTCTGACCATGCGGGGACAGTTTTCTGAGGTTTCTTTTCGTGAACATGTACTACAAAGATTGATTCTGTTTGCTGGTCAGTTTCGGGTGCTACCAGCACGCTGAAGCGGCATTTGACCATGACTCAGACTGTGGGACAACTTCCTAATTTTCGGTTCGGCAGACCACTACGAGGTGTATACATGTCAGCGAGGCAATCATAACGATGAGAAAACGTCAAAACGTCAGGATTTCAAAGAGCAGCTTGCAACTGACGCTATGACCGCCTGGAAGAGAATACTTGTGCACTTGAAGCGGCACTTGAAGCCCACAAGTGATCTACCAGTGATAGAGAGCGCAGGCATACAATCCTTAACATTCAACACTTAGCGTGTGTCCGCCTTGGCGGCGCACTTCGCTTCCGTGTTTGCAAATGACCGGATGTCTGTACCGCGTTTCTTCGTGCACCGCCATTACCGAACGCGACAGTCTGGTTTGTGGCCTGAAAGATGTGCGTTAACTACTCGCCAAACTTGGCGACACCAAGGCTACTGGACCTGACAGGCTCCACCCACTGATTCTCAGGTCCTTATCGGCCATCATCTCGCCTGTTGTGACTGGCCTGTTTAACAGGTTGCTGTCCGAAGCTTCGTTGCTGAGCGACTAGGAATGCTCAGCGGTAAAGCCGGTTTCGAAAGGGTGCAAGTCAACAGCCGTCTGAGCAACTGGTATTCTTCGACTAGTTGCGTACCTCAAGGTGCGGTGCTTGTGTCTACATTGTTCCTTTTTTATGCACGATCTAGCTCAGCTTCTTCGGTCGCCGTGTATCCTGTTTGCAGATGACCTGAAGATGTGGCTAGTGAAACCCACTTCCGACGACTGCGGCCTACTTCAGCAATACCTCAACTGTCTTTCCGTATGGTCTGCAGCGGTCCGCCTTCCGTTCAACCCATTCCGGTAGGTATTCATGAGCTTGCGGAAGGGTGTTGACGGCCAAATACTACATCCCACACCTTCCGTGAAAGATTTAGGAGTGATCTCACGTTGCGATTTGAAGTCTGTGGACAACACGACCAAGATACACCGAAAGGGATTGCGTGTGCTATGGGCGCTCAAATGCAGCTTCTGCACTCGGTCTGAAGAGGTTACTACTCGCCTATTCGCTTCCATAAAGAAACCAATACCAGAGTACGGTTCGCCAACCTGTTGTTGGCTCACACGAGGTGAGGTACATAAAGTCGAACGGATGCAACACATCGTTACCAGGCTCGTTCTCAGTTTAAGGTACGAAGGCAGGAGCGCGATGCTGGTAGTGTACACCCTGGCCTATGGTTGGGTGCGAGTCAACCTCCTCATGACTCTTCTGGTTTCCGCTGACAGTACGGCTAATCTGACTGAAATCTGTTGTCCAGTCCCCAACCAGTTCAATCCCGTAACGAAGTGAGAACGCCGAGAAAACAGCCGTACCGATGGATTCTATTGTATATGAGCATGGCACAATAAATAGGTTGTAGGAAACCGCTAACACAACGAAATTGGATATGCTGATTACTATTAATTAACAAAGATCAAACCGTTCAAGTTCATGGTTGAACTTGCCGTTGATTCCACATAGATTCGCATTTTGGTCTGTACTCGGGTTTGATCTCTAATTGTAGATCAATCCACTGTTGCGCCACTGCTTTCGGTTTGCGCGCTGAGTGAAAGCTATCTTCCTTTAATGACCTACCACATTTTGCATTTAGGTGACCTCCCCATACGGAAACCCCTGTTGCACTTGCGAACACCTTACAGCACACATGGACACCATTACAAGCTTGTGCTTCCAGATTTGAAGCGAGTTCCCCATCCCTTGTGCTTTGAGCCGCACGTCGTCAATGTATGGAACAGCGCATATAGTGGAAGCAAACTCAGTGCAGTAGTTCAAAACATTGTTAGGTCTACATTTCTCTAATGTTAGCTTCCGAGATCGCTTGCCCACTGGCAATGACATCTGACACTTGTAAGTCCTAATTCACTGTGAGTTCTACGTTGTTTTACAATATTTTGTGGGAACTTGGAAGCGATAAGTGTGTTAACAGGTCATAGTTTCCTTTAGCGTTTTTGGTACTATTTCAATGGAGGTGTGAAGATACAAATTTCTACTTGCTTCCTCAATCTACTGTTCAG